CGCAAATCAGTCATACGCGACTAGTTGAACCAACTTTATCTTTTGGTTCAACTAGTCGCGTATGACTGATTTGCGAATGCGTGTACGTTGCGTGAAACGTCATCCTGCATGCGCGTCTGCGTCCGCGTTTTGCGTATTGCGTCCTATGTAGACGGGCCTTAACACTTTGATGGTGCTCAGCCCCAAAGTTTGCATCTCTGACGCAGAGTGCTCTGCGCAGCACATGGACACGACCCAGTGAGAAATGATTCGTCGATCGATGTCGAAACGATATCGAATCGACGTCAATTTGACGGTATCGATGTCGATTCGACATCGTTTTGACATCGATCGACGAATCATTTCTCATTAATCATGGTGTAAAAATATAGAATAGAATAACGCGTGCTTTCAGCGCATATATAAATAAGCGTCAAGACGAACTTTTAGCCATAAAATCTCTAAAGTTTTATGTATAGAATAGATTTTTAAACATAATTGATATGTTACAGATTTCTTTTCGTTGTATCGAAAATTTCAATATTTCGACCTCATTTCGATTTTATACAAAAATCAATAACCATCCCAGCAAACCATAACGTAACTGTTACATAACACAGGGAGCACATAAAGAGAACAATGTTATATTTCATAGTTATGTAGAAGAGATGTAAGTATTACATAACATTGACAGCACATTAGAAGAACAAAGTTATATTTCTTTGTTACGTATATAACATCGCAACAGTTCTTTAAAAATGTTATGTAACACACCCGTGACTCAAGATACGTAACATAAATATAATAATTGTAATCTTTTAGCAATATAACAAATGGCATATTACTGATACATATGTAATATATTATTACTGTTCCGGATTCAATTATGAATCTCGGTCTGTTCGTCACCGGCGTGATGGCAGCATCAGCCGGGTCGGATCGTGCAGCGCCACAGGGGCGCTGCGCGCGCATGCCCGATCGCGACGCGAGGCGACCACGCTTCTTCACGCTCGTTTCCGGCACTTTTCTGCGGGATTCGAGTGGCGACCGCGGACCTGTACGGACGTGATCGTGCAGTCTTGCGTTAGTTATTTGAGGTTGTGAAAAAGAGATTTTCACTAGAAGATCCCTGCCGTTGACGCGTAGGGAAGTGCACACGGTTTGGTACTCATATACGAAGAATAGTAGTGGGTGCGCGAAATGCAGGAGGCTGCGGCCTCTTGCATAAGTAAAGACAGCGAGGGGAACTCTACTGACCCCCCTCCCCCTAACACCATCCTTTCAGCATGGGATGCTAATCCTAAATCCTCTACCCTTCCCCTCGACACTCCCTGTGACGCAGGGTCTTCTGGTGACCGAAAAGAACGTGGAACACGCAAAGCACACAGACGCGGTCCCCCCCCGTGCAGGGGATCTTCCAGAAGGGGCAGCCAATCAAACAACGTTTAATCAGAAGGACGAATCAAAGAGCGACAGGATTACAGCCAACAAAGAAAACACTACAGTTGCAGACTTAGTAATGGAATACACCATGGACAGCGATCCGAAGGTTAACAAGCCCACAAATAATATAATCAATGTCGCTAAACACCCCAAAGCCGCACAAGGTAAGACACTCGAAACTATTACTCCTGCAAATGCAGCACCGGATAAATACACGAGTTTAGATTGTCCCCCGTATGTGGTACACATCAAGGATACCAACCCTGTACCCTTACATCCTATACATATTAGTAAAATCGTGTCGGCCATTTTCCCCAAAGGTATGGGGGAAGTTACGAAAATAGCTAAAGGACAAGTCGCCATTGTCATGAACTCGACACTCGACGCTAACAAACTTGTCGGTAACGCAATTCTCACCAACAAGGGCTTACACGCATTCGTACCTAAGTACAAATTGATGAGAATAGGAACGGTCAGGGGCATACCTCAAGACTTAGACACTCAGACGATTTCGCAAAACATCAAATCCAGTTCCAGAATTAGGGACATCAACAGATTAAATCGAAGAGTTAAAACAGACCAAGGATATACATATGAACCATCTCGATCACTCTCGATCCAATTTGCAGGCCAAGCACTTCCAAACCATGTGTACATTTACAATATAAAATACGCAGTATTCCCTTTCATCCCCAAAGTTAAAATATGCTATTCTTGTTATAGAGTGGGACATATTAGCAATTCATGCAAAAGCAAAGCCAGATCGATGTATTTACTGTGGAGAAGATAAGCACGAGGACAAGGACTACGTGTGCGCGTTGAGCACTGGAGACCACACATGCCTCAATTGCAAGGGAAATCATCTCCCTACATCGCACGAATGTCCTACGGTGATTTCATTTAAAAAAGCTCAAGCATTGGCAGCCACTGAAAACATCTCCATGCAGGAAGCCAGAAGAAGGATTATCTCCATGGACAACACCCAGTACGTAAAAGAAGACCCCAGATATGATTTCCGAAACTTCCCCACCCTCAATTACAAACCTGTAACTCCCAGTCCACTGATGCCATCCCACTTCCAGGAGAAATCTTCCAGTCCCTCCTCCTACGCTGTATCCTCCCTCTCCAACAAACGTAGGTACAGTTATGCCAACGCCGCGGCATTGACACCAGTCTTTAAATCAACTGATACCTCCCAGCCCCTTACCTCTACCCCCTCTCCTATCAATACCGGGCTCTCTCTTTTCCCCTCTTTGCCTTCATATCCATCCAACATCAGGGTGCAGAGGAGCGACTTTCGCTCGCGTAGAGATGTAGCCCGTACGGCTCACTTCTCCAAGGAACACTCTGAACTCTTAATCAGTCCTAACGGAAGATATCCAAATTCACCAACTCCTGGCTCCCCGGAACCTTCCCCTGCTATAGCTGCTACTAACGAGCTTCAAATCCAAGACACATTGAGATGGATCATCAACCAACTCAACAATTTACACGAACTCATCTCCCCATTACGAAGAACTGCAGAGCAGAATCACGCCACGAACAACTACACCATACCTGCCGACATGCAACTGCACTATGAAACTCCCGGGCAAGGGAATCCGACTCTTACTAGTCAAATTCAACTCAACTAATAAAAAAGCAGGAATCAGGATCACACAGTGGAACTGCAGAGGACTGCAAAGTAGATCCACGGAATTATACGCTTTAATGGACCAAACAGACATATTCTGCTTGCAGGAAACTCTCCTTAAAAACTCTAACTATTTTCATCTACCTGGCTTTTCGGCCTTTAGGGGCGACATCACCGCTCCTGGTGCCAGAGGCATAGCAATCCTAATACGCAACTCCTTCCAATTTAATCCTCGATCGTTAGATTTCCCCTTACATCCTACTTGCGAAATCCAACTACTGGATATTAAAATCAAACAAAGCACGATTACATTGGTTAATTTTTACAGACACTCCAACACGGACACTCCTAGAGACTTCTTACGTAAATTCTTCGACACGCTAGCACCCCTTGGAAATATCCTCATGGTTGGAGACTTTAACGCCCACCACCCGGCATGGGGCGGGATGGGCGTCCGCATTGACTGCATGGGCACTCGGCTGTTGGACTCCTTCGAGGAGGCGGGACTCACGGTGCTAAATACTTCAGGAGATACCTTTATGAGCTTGTCTCACGGAACTTTCTCGGGAATCGACATAGCCTTGGCTTCAGCGGCACTCGCTCCACTATGCTCCGTCAGGATTGACAGTGATCTCAGAGGCAGCGATCACTTTCCCCTCTTCACTTCCATTGGCCAACTGGAACCTTCAAGGAACTGTTTTAAATACAAGATCAAACTAAGTGCGGCGGAATCTAGAGAACTCCGGCATATGCTGGAAAGGGAGCAAAGCGTTTTCTCGGAAGCGCTTCCTGCTGACCCAATAGAGGCGTACAACTATATGGTTAGTTTCGTCTTAGAGAGAATAAGAAGCATCGTGGGAGATAAGAGGTCTTCCAAAGGATCTTCGACTCGGACAAACAGACCAGAACACGTTCCTGCTCTCTGGTGGAGCGAGGAGTGCGACGAGAAATGCCGGGACAGAAAGGCGGCTCTTCTTCATTTTAGGAAATCTCCATCAGCAGCAAGTCTTAACGATTATAGGAAAACTGCGGAGGAGTGTGCCAAGACTCTTCGAAAATACAAGAGCAAGGGATGGAAGGAACTATGCACTTCATTCACGGGAAAAACTCCCTCTGCTGAAGTCTGGAAACTCGTTAAAGCATATAAAAAAAGACGACTTTTATTAACAAGCGGCACGGAGGAACAGACAGTACCCTTTGAGGATCAGGTAAATCTGGCGCAGGATAAACTATGTCCCCCTAGCTGTGAATTTCAAATCAATATGGATTCCTATCTGCGTGAATGCAAATTGCGTTCAGGAGGTATCTCCAGAGAAGAGCTGGGCAGTCCATTAACCATTGAGGAACTCAATGGGGCTATGTCTCATTTTAAAGGTAGGAAATCGGCACCAGGTGAGGATCAACTCGACTTCAGAATCCTGAGCACCTTCCCGCCCCTCATGATTAAACATATGCTGGGAATCTTCAATACATTCCTCAAAACTGGCATAACTCCTCCTGCGTGGAGGCGCTCGCTGGTTATCCTCATCCCCAAACCTAACGGCACCGGACTTAGGCCTATAGCGCTGGTTCCGTGTTTACTCAAGGTGTTCGAG